CTAATCTAAGGGATTATATACCTTAAACTAGATCTTAAGATATACCTAGGTATAGTTAGTAGTAGTCTCCTTAGCATTTATCTATAGTAGTTAGTTATTATACTACTTAGAGTTAAGCTAAAGCTTAATAAGGTTTACTAACTACTTATAGAGCGATAAGAGAAGTGCCTAACTATTTATAATTATAGTATATATATAGTAGATCTTATGTTAATAATACTTATTAGCTTTAATCTAAGTGGTGTAGTGCTTCACTTAGTTCTAAAAGATTTAAGTACTATTAACTAAATAGTTAGGGATCTAGTTATACTAATAGTTAGTTTAATACTCTAGTAAAGAGTTACTAAATACTTATTTTATAATACTTAATACTATATAAATAATATATCTAGTAGGTAGTATCACCTATATTAGTATAGGTATATACCACTTTAGCAGTTTAGTAGAGCTATAAGGTATAAGAGATATAAAGCTTATTACTACCTAATTAGTTATGCTAATAAGTACTACTATTCTTCGCTAAGTTATTAAGTTTATATAACGCTAGAATATAGATAATTAAGGTCTTAGTATTTATAATAATTAGATATAAAAGTAGTATTAAAAAGGGAAAGCTTTATAAAAGCTTAATAAAGCCTTATAAAATATAAAAGTTATTATAATATAATATAATAAAAAGGAAAAAAAAAGAAACTAACCTTAAGTAGGAAAAAAAATATTACTTTATAGATAGATATAAGGTATTATTAAATAGTTAAAGAGGTAGCTATAACTTTAGATAGTAAGAATAGTAGTTATTTACTATAGTAAGTACTACTAAAGGTGAGAAGGTAAGTATAGTAAATTAATAATAGTAGTTACTATTTAATATTCTAAATAGCTTTATAATATACTTATTTTAGAAGGGGGATAAATAAAATAAAAAAATAAAGTTATTATAAAGCTATTATTTAGAAAAGGCTTACTAAGTAAAAAATAAAATATCTATAAATAAAGAATATAAAACCTACTAAAGATAATTTCTTTCTTTAAAAAATAAGAGAGACCCCTAATAAAATCCTATTTAGTAGATAATATAACCCTAAAAGTAAGATTATAAGACTTATAGAGATAATAATAGTACTAAAGGATAAGGAAGCTTTAGTAAATATATAGTAGATAACTACTATATAGATAATAGAGATAACCTATAATAATAATAGTAACTATAAAAAGCTTATTATAGATAATAGAGGTTCTTACTTATTATTAGTTCTATTCTATAGCGAGGACTACTATAATTAGAAGGGGGATAATTATAAAGGTCTAGCTACTTAGACTAAAAAGGCTTAGGGATAGTTTAACTAGATTAAGCTAAAAGGATAGAGAACCTTATAAAGATAAGGTATAGAACCCTCTATAATAAGGACTTAGTAAGTACTTACTAAAGAGTTAGAGAAGAAGATCTTAGAAGAAGTAAGTAAAAGTAGCATAGTAATACTATACCTACCTTTTAAGTACTTCTTCTATTAGTTTAACCTAACTATAGCCTATAGCCCCTAAATACCTTTATATAATTTAGAACTTCTAAAAAGCTTAAGTTAGTTATTCTTATTATTTATTACTAAATTATTATATTAATTTTATTATAAAGTAAATATAATACTTATATTTTATAGGAGGTACTCTAAAGAGGTTTATATTAATATCTCTTATAGTAGTAATAATTACTTCTCTAAATAGATATTTTAGATAAATATAAAAAGTTTAGTAATTTAGTTTAAGAGAACTAAATTTATTACCTTAATTAGAGGGATAAATTTAAAACTAAGAGACTTATATATTCTATTTAAAATTAGTAATAGCTTTAAATATATCTTTATAAACTAAGGTATTATTTAGACTATTAAAATAGATACCTATCTTCTAAAGAAGACTAATATTAATAATTTATACTATATTATAAGGTTTATAGAGAGTATTATATAGTTAGAAAATAGTCTTTTTACTATTTAGTTTAATAGTAATTACTCTAGCTATACTAATAATCTAACTAATTTAGTTTTTTCTATTTATATAGTTTATAGTTAATTTTTAAAAGAGATCTTAAAGTTCTTTAAAAATAGAGAAATTATTAAGAATATATCTACTAATATTAATATCTAATATAAAGGAGTCTATCCTCCTAATTAAGGTTATAGATATAATATATTAATTTAGTTATATTTCTTAGTTATTATTTTCTTTTTTATTAACTTCCTTAATAATATTATATATAAAGAAACTATTAATCTCTATATCTATAACTTAACTAGTAAAACTATAGTTAGAGTATATAGATTCCTTTATTAATTACTTTCTAACTCCCTATATATATATAATTTTATATAGATCTTTAACTAGAGGTTAAGGGTTAAAATATAAACTAAATATTCTAAAGTCTTTTATTAAGAATAATAGAAAAGTCTTCTTTTAAGTTTAAGTTAATAAAATATCTATAAAAACTTTAGATTATTAGTTAATATCCTATTTAATACTAAAGTTTCTAAAGATATTATCTTAAGTTTAGCTTTTTAAAGTAAATACTAAAGTAAATATTTATATTATTAATTACTAAGTNTTATTAGTAGTTTATTAGTATACTTAAACTTATTATATACTAAAGTATAATACTTATAATATCTAAGGGAATAATTATTATACTTATCTAGATATAATATTATCTTTCTATAGTAATAGTTATATATTTTATATTTATAGAGAGTTTTAGAATACTTAATATTATAGGAAATATATAAATCTTATAGTTTTATACTTTTAAACTTAAGAACTTAAGTTTACCTCTTTATAATAAACTTCTTTTTATTTAATAAAGTTTTAATACTTTAAGAGGTTTATTTATATTATTCCTTTTTATTTAAGTTTCTAAGTTTTTATAAGAAGTTATTATAGTTTTAAATCTCTATAATAAAGTTATTCTTTATAAAATCTATTTTAATTTAATTAAAATATCTAAAATTTTAGATAAGTTTATAAGTAAGAGCTATAATTAATAAGCTTATATTAGAACTATTTAGTTTATTAAAAGTTAAATAAAGATCTTATATAAAATTCTTAATATTACTATAATTAATTCTAGTTATTCTATTCTAATTATTATAGACTTTACTTATAGTTAGTTTATTAAACTTCTAAGTATATTCTTTAGTTTTAATAAAAATATAGAAGGCTAAAGCTATAATAAAAAGACTATTATTAATTATTTCTTCTAAGAGATTATATTAGATCTTCTCTATAAGTAACTATTTAATAAGTATAAAACCTATAAATATTAAATTATTTAAAAAGTTTAGATCCTTAATTATTATTACTTTATCTTCTTTAAAGACTATATTTCTATTATATCTAATTAATATCCTTTTAGCTATTAAGTAGAAGAGTAATCTTATTACTTTAAAGGTATTCTTAAAATTAATCTCTTATAGTTTAAAGTTTATAGCTTTAATTAGTTTAAGGATAGTATTACATACTAAACTTTTTAGATCTAATCCCTTATTAGTTACTTTTTATATAGTTACTCTAGTTATAAAGTTTATAGTAAAAAAAGGGGGAGAGTTAGTTTAAGATAATCCCCTTCTAATAGAGTTAAAAGAAAATAAAGTTAGATTACTAGTTAAAGATATATTAATTTATTTAATTAATTTAGTAGTTTAAGAGAGGTTTAAAGAATAGTTATAAGTAATTATTAGATATTTATTAAGTAGTTATTATTATATAACTATAGTAATTATTAAATAATTATTAATTTTAGTAACTTAAAAGTTAAAGAGATTTTTATAAATAAGGGATATATATTATAATAGCTATAACCTCTACTTAGAAATATTACTTTTAGTAACTTAGTAATCTATTAATTACTCTATAATAATTACTAAACTATAAAGTTAGAGTTTTAATAGCTACTTAGAAATAACTTTACTATCTAGTAAATAGATTTAAGTATTTAGAAAACTTATAACCTAAGTAAAGTAGCTTAATTAATCTAGCTATAAATGCTAAGTACGCCTAGCTATAAAGTGGTGTAGCTGATCCCTTATATAAAGGCGGGATTCAGGCCGGGGTTCAGGCCTCAGGCCCGGGCCCGGCCGACTACCGTCTCGCACCAGGCTACATAGGCGAGTGTTGTCCCGTGTCATTGTCTTCCATTGGATTGCCTTAATAGCCAGACTTGGGGATATTGTAGTCAAAAATTGGAGATAAATCGGCCGTTGCGGCACTATCATCTTTGCCAATGCTATCGCCCTCGATCGAAATATAACTTCAAATTCCGATAGAGAGGAAATATAGTCGCGAGGACACAGAAAAAGCTAGGCGATCTCGTTTTAGGTCAGGAGGTCCTGCTTAAGCGTCCAAAAGCTCGCCATCCGAATCTGGACCTGCCCATGCCATTTCTCAGACTGGGTATGTATGTTTGGATGATTTTCCCCTGGCCAGAGAAGCATTCAAGAGTTGAGACAGAAAATGCCCTTGCCGTGTCTTGCCAGCTGGAAGTGTCCTAAGGATTTCTTTTTAATCTTTTTTTCAAGAAGGCGACTCTTGGCTGCGAGTTACGTTTTGGGTTCTGGTGGTCAACAACAAATACTAATAACATCTGGTGGAATCTTGGTTGGGTGAATGAAGGAGGGCAGGACGTAAAAGAAGATGGAGGGAAAAAAAAAAGGGTACAAAAAAAGGTTCCAGATGGCAAAAGGCAGGGTTTGAACCCATAACCATATTATAACCCCAGCGAACAGAGGGTAAGGGACATCAGGGCGCTAGCACTTGGCCAGATCTGACCAAGTGAGCCATTGACTCCTCCGTTCGCTATTGACTACGGTGGGAGGAACCGGTACTAAGTAGGTCACCGCTTAGAGCAGGCTGCGAGCTAAGGTCACTATCATGCTTTTCAACCATCGAGCTATGCATCGGAAACGACTGTACTGTTATGAAGCTACATAGGTGAAGCATTCCCGTCGCGATCCTCATGTATCCATGGCCAGGCTTGTTTCGTCAGCTTCTTCTTCGTGGTCACTTACGATGCCGCGTCCCGAGCGTGTCGTCCTCTGGAGCCAAGCCATTAGCTTGTGCTATGGAATCTAAGTTATTTGGAATTGTCTCTTACCCCGAGTGTGGTGTAGTCGCTGAGGTCCCCAGTCTCACCGGATGTTGCATCAGTAGATCCTGCTTGAACCGGTGTAAGCGTTCTGAGTTCAACATTTGCGAGCGACGAGGTGTTTTCTCACCAGTGTAATCTGCCTGGGAAGTAGAGACTTCATTTCTCCCGCCAGATTGTGCCGCGGTGCTGGAGGACAAAGCCTCGAGGGCTTCTTTTGATGAATCAATGTACTCACCGCGAGCATCCTCGGCAGCGATACCTTCGGTGGTGTTGTCCACCTTTCCATGCAAAAATCCACCTTCCCGCAGCTTCTTCTTCTCCCCAGCTACCACATTTTCGCCCTCGCGCCCCAACTCCTCATTCAATTTCTTCGACTTCTCATCGTCGTGGCCATCACACTCACAGCCCTCCTGAGTTCCATCGACACCCTCCTCTCCGGACTTCAACGGCTCCTTCTTCCTGCCCGAGCGCCCGGCAACAACATCCTCCCCGAGCTGTTCCTTCTGCCTCTCATCCAGATCCCCTGCATCGGCTCCGCGATTGTACGCAGAGTACGCAGCCGACGCAACGCCGCCAATCTCCTTGTAATCGGGGCCCTTGCCTTGAGCTTGATCCGCTTGATAGTTCGCAAAGGCCTTCTTGGCGTCATCGCCGACCTTGTCCCAGCCTTGCTGGTCAGAAGTCTGAGACGAGCCCTGCTGGTCTCTATTGGCTTCGTCGTTGCTAGCAAGCTGCTTGGCAGTGTTGAGGATTGAGTTGAAGCCCATGTTGGATAAGTTGAACTGAAGAATGGGATGTTCAGAAAGTGCGTTAAGTGAATGCTTATGAGATAGTGTGATGTTAACGTGTGTGAACTGAATTCGAAAGAGCAGAGTCGATTACAAGGTATTTGATGCAGCGCCTTTATACTTGCCATCCAGTCCTCAACTTCTATGTCCGTTTGCATGTTGTCACCAAAACCCAGAGATCCGAGAACGCAGTCTCCCCTGATTCCACCGAACGCTTGCAACACGTCAAAACACATCAGCCATGGCCGACGTGCGTCCACGACCTTTCTTGGCATCACAACTTCCCACATCCTTCTTGGCATCACAACAACACACAGCCCAGCTGAGGCAACCACAACAGATGGATCTCTTGGCGAAGAGAGCACATACAGCCAGCTGAAAACACAACACTACCAGACGAAATCCTTGGCAACGAAGAGAGAAAAGGATCGCCGTTCGTCCAATTGAGACCACGCGGGTTTCGAGGTCGACAGTAGTTGCCTCCCGATGGAAGAGAGCACGGGCGCACGGGGGAACACATCAGATGGCGATTTACAATGTACGACGTGGGACCGTGCCTGACATCAGGAACAACAATCCAGGAACGTCGGCGCTTCGATCGGTGTCGCTTGAGGAGACAGCGCGTTGTTGCCGGTCTTAGACGACCAATGACGAGGAAAGATAACCGACGGCAACGTTACTATTGTTTGCTGTCAATCTCAACGTGAACTTGTAATATGTTTTTATAAACTACTATTGTATATGTGTAGAGTGTAAGGTTGTCCTTCGTAGCCAGTCGCTTCTTCTCATTTGAACTCTGTAATGACTGTACACGCAATCGAAAATATAACCTGAAAGTCGCAAAGTCGCTTTGTTTCTCGTCGCACGCTATGCCGGGGTATGCTAATTTGTTTGTGTAGAATGTACTCGTCGAATACTGATACAGTCTGTGTGTATGTGCTTCGGAAAAAATGGACGTATTAGAAACTGAGAGAATAGGACACGTCAGTCCACACCCCCGTCACTTCGATGACGACGTTGACGATGGTGCTGACTGTCCAAATCGCAATCAGTCCCCAGCCGATCTTGCGTGACATGATCCACTTGTTCATCGGAACGATGAGTAGGAGACCCAAGAGGGTGAGGAGGAGTGTGATGGCTGATATCATCAGGGTGCCTCCGATTTGGATTTCGTATGAGTGATACTTGAAAGGTTTGTCAGGATGTTTCTTGTGTCGATGTTTGGCGGCCTGGACCATCATATAGACGCCGCCAATGCCGATACCGAGGAGAATGTTCAGCATGGGGCCGCCGAAGCACGCGGAGCTACGTTGCTGTTAGTAAACTTTATGCGTCGAAAGGTAACGTTGCAACTTACAGAGCCATCACAGGGTAGCCAAGGCGGGCAACGGTGATGTCGGCAATGAGGTCGCCAACGCTGTTGCCCGCAGCAAAGATGGTCAACCCTAGAAGAGCCTCTGAGATTCCCAGAATGACTCCAACAGCTTTTAAAACACCAACAACCTCTCCCGCAATGGTCGAGATCCAAGCTATAGCTATGATGAACCCCATGAAGCATAAAAGGAAATGGAACTTGGGTTTCTTGTCGGGGCTTGTCGTCATGAGTAGCAGGCCAAGAAGTATGGTAGATGCCAGCAGGGTATATAGAATGAACCTGACCAGCACTCTGTATGGGTGCTGGAAGTCCTCAAACATGTTGGCCCACAGGATGACCACTGCAAACAAGGGGCCCGTGAAGATTTGGATAGCGACAAGCCACCGATTCCACTGACCCGAGTCATCAACAGCGATGCTGCTCTCAGAGGGTAGAGGTGCCGCCGGCTTAACGTGTTGTGGATGGCTCGTGGGTGCCTCAGCGACACGCGCGCCGCTCGGATCATCGATAGCAATCAACGCTGGAGAACCCTTGGGAGAATAGTTGCGCTCAAGGGACGGCATGCGAGAATGCGTCAGGGTGGCTCTTCTAAAGCGTTGCCATTCCGACTCTTGTTCGATGGGCTCGCCCTCAGGCAATGTTACAGATCCATCGCCAGTGGTGTCCAACCCGATCATGGGGTCCACCATGGTATCGTCAGACAAGTCGTCTGGGCTTTCACTCTCAACGACCGGGAGGGTGAGAACGAGAAGCAAAATGCTCGGCACCGATATGGCACTGACGAATCTGTCCCAGTGACTCTTCTGCTGCCACCCTAGGAGTGTAGGAAACAATGTTCTCCAGAAGATGTGAGGGGGCGGCAAGATAGCATATGGCCACCATCTCACCGGCTTCGGTTCGATCACTTCGTAGGGCGCGAAGGGCATCTCCATGCGAGCTGGTCCAGGAGGCAATATGAATTCGGGCGGATCAGGTTGGGCTGCTGGTGTTAACACCATTGGAGATTCAGTGTACCCGGGGAAGGGGGATGCTGGCGAAGAAGTGCTGAAACTTGTACGTCTGCTTGATGGTATTTGGAGGGAAAGCTGGCCGAATGGTCTGGGGTCAAGAGAATCGCTGCCGCCAGTGTCTTGTCGTAGGGGCGCCGCGTCCAACGGAGGAGGCGCCAGATTGCCACCAATCTTGTACGCAGGGGATGGACTTCGATTCCTGGCTTCCTGGGCTTTTACCTGTTGGATCGGGTTCGCTGAGACTGGAGGAGGGAAACGCCAAGGAGAGTGATCGCGACTGGGTTGGCGGGTAGAAACCAGTGAGCCGGGAACATTTCCAGAGGATAAGGCCCTATTCCTACTCTGGCCGAGACCTTCGCCGCCGCTGATGGTGTATCTGCCTGAATCTGAAGGTGGCCCCATAACAGTGCCTGAGTCGCTGTTGCTTCGAATGTTATTAACGGAATATGCTCGCCCGTGCATCGGTCGCATCCTCAAGTTGCTCTCTCTCTGTAGTTGAGCCAAAGCTGATCGAAACTCCAGGGCGCCGACCAAACTGGGACGAATCGGAGTAAGAGTGTTGCGTCTGCGGCCTCGGGGACGGAGAACACGCATGTTGCTCGCCATCTCCGCCACGACGTGCCTGCCATGATCGCTCTCCTCAACCTCGTCATCGCCCTCGTCCTGACCTTCGACTTCAATTCGCGGTCCAGCCTCTAGTGCACTGATATCACCGGCATTCGAGGCGCTGGCGGACGTGACTTGACGATCCTCGTCGTCGGGATCATCCCGGTACGGCTCCGGTGCCAGTTCATCGTATGGATGCCCCCCTGCTCCGTAGACATGCCCTCGTGCGGCTGCTTCCCGGACCCGCCGCTGGCTCCGCCTTTTCGAGTAATAATGCCATGTGACAACGAAGACCACGTAGAATATGTAATAGCAGACCATGGTTATGCACTCCCATAGGTGCAGGTGCCCGTCAGCCAGGAATACCATGGTGAAGCAGACGGCCACGATGAAGAAGCATAAATCGCGGACGTAGGTCTGTCTCCCCACTTTAAACTCCCGAACCAAGGCCATGGAACCGGCGACGACGGCGGTGATAAAGCTTGCAGCGCCGATAAGCTCGCCTACAGCCATGCTGGCGCTGTTGGAGCCCATGGCTGCAAAGGTGCTGAAGACATCCGGGGACCCATTTCCGAAGGCAAGGAAGGTAACACCCGCTAAGCTTTCGCTAAGGCCAAGGATCGTGGAGATGGTGTTGAGATTCACGCTGAAAAAGTCACTGGCGGCGATGCCAATGGTGGTGAAGAGCAGGCCGAGCCAGCAGACGAGTATGGCGAAAGCGACTGGCTGAGCCTTGCCTAGGTTGCAGTAGTACAGGGTGAGATATGAGAGCAAGCCAGCCTCGTCCTCGGCGCAGTGAGCCTTGACGAAGGCACACTGGTCCTCAGCGCGGTGAACATCCCGGCATTCCGTCAGCTCGTTCCTTCTCAGGAGCGGAGACGAGGCGTCGACATGCTGCGGGGCGAAGTGTCGTTCCGTGGCCTTGGTAAAGAATGACCATGTCGCGAGCAGGGTGAGAAGGAAGACTGTCGTATAGAATGGCCGCAAGCGAAGGCCGCTCCCCCTAATCTTAGAGGAAGCTGGCATGCTGACGTCAAATGTGGAAGATAATTGGCTCATAGGAAGCCATGGCAGAAGACTTGTCGCGGGCGCGTGCCTGGTGATGCCGCTCGTTCCGCTGCGGTGCGCGGATGAGGAACGAACGGGTGTCGCTGAGTCGAGCCTCTATGCAAAAAAAAAAAGGATACGCAGGAAAAGCTGCCAGCGGGTGTGAGGTGAGCCGCAGGGCAGAGTGAGAAGATGCATGCGCTTCTCGCCTTCATGTACGATTCATGGAGACTCTGGGAGGCAGCCCGGGAAAACCTGCCCAAGGTCCTAAGGAAACGGCTGTGTCGCAAGTTCTTGGCCAAGATTTGCTGGTCTACGCAAGGTCGATGCTCTGATAGAGCCGAGGACATGCGTGGTAAATCCCCCTCCAACGTGGCTATGTCTCTTTGGAGCGGCAACTTTAAGAGAGGAGGGCGCGTTGCAACGGCAAGTGTAAGAGAGCGGTTCCAATTGGGCTCGGCAGAGAGCATCATTGCGTCACGTGAAGATAACAAAGCCAAGGGGAGGGGCGGCAGCAACCAGGTAAACGTTGGCAGTTGGGACGAAACCGCTCGGGCCCGGGCTTTCAGCTCCCCGCCTTGTCCCGTCCCGAAACGGTGAATGTGACACCTAAGATTTCAGGCACCACCTCTTTATTGTTGTTTCGCGTCGTCGTTGGGGGCGTGTCCAAGTGGGGAAAGTAAACATTGGCGTCGGGCACTGGGCTACCGACGCACATCGCAAACAAATCCACCATCCAACTCTGTCGGACGACAACCTCATCGCCAACAACACAGAATGCCTCGAGTGGCTAACGTACCGCGCGCTGGCAGCGTCAGAGCGACCTCCGGGTCGATGAACGCTTCGCCCTTCAAGAACTCCCCCGTCAAGTACGTTTGCGACACCGCCGATTCACCCATGTTCCCCCGCTCAGCAACGGTACTAAACAATATTCAGAATCCCCCTCAACGACGATGTCGAAGAGAAGGCCCGGAGAGCGCAATCGCGCCATGCTCTGCAAGAGCGTCAGAAGAACGAGCTGAAGGCTGCAGCTGCGACACCTTTGCGCAAGGGAAGACACAGCTTGGAGGATATCGAAAATTCGCCCGGTGGCTCCCGGCCTAAGACGCCAGGTGCCCGCGGCAGTCGAGCCCGAACAGTAGTTGACGAAGATGACGACGATATCGTCGTCAGCGGAAGCACAGTTACGCCTATGAAGCGAGTCCCGATTCTCGCAAACTTCGAAGAGTGGATGAAGATGGCTACGGACAATAAGATCAACGCAAACAACTCCTGGAACTTTGCGCTGATTGACTACTTCCACGACATGTCTCTGCTGAAGGAGGGTGATGGAGTCAACTTCCAGAAGGCCAGTTGCACGTTAGACGGCTGCGTCAAGATCTACACGAGCAGAGTTGACAGTGTCGCAACCGAGACCGGCAAGTTGCTGAGTGGTCTTGCAGACAGCAACAACAAGAAGAGAGACCGCGACGGTGAAGGAAACGAAGGCGAAGAGAGTGAAGAAGACGAGGTTGATGAGGATGGAAACGTTAGGAAGAAGCCAAAGCGAAAGGTATGCGACACTCAACCCAGAGTAGACGCCACAATACTGACTTTGAACAGACGCAACGTTCGTCAGAGGCCACACTTGCACCTAGCTTCTCGTCACTCCAACTCAAGAAGTTCGAGCTTGAGTTCGCCGTGGACCCCTTATTTAAAAAGACCTCCGCAGACTTTGACGAGGGCGGTGCCAAGGGTTTGCTCCTTAACCACCTTATGGTAGATGCCCAGGGACGCATCGTGTTCGACAGCAGTGACGATGTCGGCGATGCGCACACCTCAAAAACAAGAAAGAAGGATACCGCGGCTGATCAGGAAGAGGAAGAGGGTACTCCTGAACCATCCATGGTCGAGGAGCCCGAGCCGGAGGAGGAGACCGAAGACGTAGAGATTGATCTCGGTTCTCTGGGTTCTAAGTTCTTCCCCGAACTGAACATTCTGGACGAGCTTGATGTCTGCCCATCGTTGAAGACCTTTGACCTGGGCAACCCCTCTGGTTCTCTGGATATTCCCTTCCTCAGGGCACCAGAGGACTGGAGAGGTGACCAGGACAAGGAGAAGACGGCTGATTTGCTTGGTGATAACTCTGGCATGTTCATTGACGGTGACAACGCTGCTGGTTTCGATGATGACGATCTCGGCCTTGGCGGATTTGACCTTGGCGCGGATGTCGCATTCGGCGAGGGCGGTGAGGCGTGGGCTAGGGAAGCTGCGCTTGAGCCGCAGATGCGCGTATATGACGCCGGTCTCAACAACGACGGCGGTGAAGGCGGTGATGTTGAGATGCTGGATCAGGACAATGGCGACTATGTCATATCCATGAGCCATGCGCAGAATGCTGACAAGATGCATGAGGACATCCTGGGGTACTTCGACCAGGCCCTGCAAAAGAACTGGACCAGTGCCGAGCACTGGAGAATCAGGAAAATCAAAGACATCAACAAGCCGGCAGCTCCAGCCCGGCAACGCAAGGAGAAGGAGCCGTTCGAGATCGACTTCTCCGCGCCGCTGGATAACAACCTGGCTGACGCGCTGTACACAAAGGCCACCAGCAACTCCGCAATCTCCATGCCAAAGAAGGACTGGATCTCCAAGTCAAGGAACCTCCTGCCTGACGACAAGCACTTCAACTCCAAGTCCCTTCTTAATCTTTTCCTCAAGCCCAAGGCCCGTCTCAGCAAACGACGTGTACTTGGCACCAGAGGCGGCGCCTTCGGAAGCGGCGGCCAGGACAGAGACGTTCCGGCAGGCGAGATGGACGAGGCTTTCTGGGCCAATCAGAAAGAGCCGCTGCATGGCGCCGAAGAGACGGACACGTTGCCGCAAGGCGACTACGACGCGAACTTCTTCCAGGACGACGCACTTCCCTTCGCTGGCGGCCTGGAAGATGAGGATGATGAGTTCGCAGACGCTCGCGAGCACTTCTCGCCTACCGCAGAGGGCGACCCCGGTGTTACTGAGACTGCGGGGATGACTGCTCTCCTCGGCAGCGACGCAGCGACGAATGCCCTGACCGGCGCATTTGGCACGACGCTAGTCACCCAAACGCGCCGTCTGCGGCCAGACTACGTGCAATACGCACGTGTAGCCAAGAGGGTGGATGTCAGACGTTTGAAGGAGGAAATTTGGAAGGGCATGGGCCTCGAAAGCCTTGAAGCTGTAAATCTGAACTCATCCCCGAAAGCAGACTCGACGCTCACTCTTGTGCAGGAAAACCTTCCCACACCAACTCCGCCCGAGGACCCGTCTAAGGACCCAACGCTAAAGTTCACCGATGTCATGAACAACCTCCAATCAGTATACCCCAGGCCGATGATGGAGGACATCTCCACGAGTTTCTGCTTCATCAGTCTGCTGCATTTGGCTAACGAGAAGGGTCTCGTCGTTGAGAAGACGCCCGATCTCACCGAGCTGATGATCAAAAAGGATTGGACGGCCGAGATAACGGCTGGCGGAGACTAAACGATTAGGGAATGCAAAAAAAGGAAAGGAAGCGATGGGCGGATGTGTCTTTGTGATCGTTTGTGCCGCTTAGGCCTTCAGCGGCGTTAATTTGCTTGTAACGACGACATGTTTGATTTTTGCAATGTTCATAATGAATGGGCGGAAAGAATCATTTATTTCACGCCTTCTCTGCTCTCAGCTGCCTCCAACCGAAGGCATCGCGGGCCGAGTGGGCTCGGGAAGTCCTGGAGTGACGTCGTATGTAATGAATGACAATCGACCGGCCCGAACGGTGTGCCTCAAACTCGCATTAAATAATAATGCCTGCATTCCCCCCATCATGCGTCTTGACCGTTTTAATCTGATGATGGGACCTTCTCAAGTTCCCATCATCCTAAAGCAATGCCGCTAGCACACGTTCCAACGGCTGGTCCAATCCAACACCTTGGGTCTGGGAAGGGGAGCTAGAGGATCAAACGTGGCCGCTTGGGTCCCCCATCCGATGAAGGGTGCCTTGGAGGCGACGGATGCGCTGCTTTCATGCTGTGCAGCATCCGACGAAGGGACGAAATAAACAACCTGGATCGCTTACCGACGAAACAAGTGTCTCGGCATTGTGCACGATAGGATGAACACCAATCAAGCAAAAATAGATGCTGCCAAAGTACATGCCAGATTTTGCCGGTGCAGTCGGGCTGCGCTGTCGCCTTCTGGGGGGTCCCTCTCCAAGGAGCATATCCTCCGGGCCGGGAACCACGCTACGCCATAACCCGCATCGGCCGTCGTCCCGTGGCCAGACTAAAGATCTGAACTTGCAGATTGTGGCGCCTGTTGGCCTTGTTTCTCGCTCTCCGAGGTATGGGAATGTGTATATGTGTATGCTTTCTGGGTGGAAGACGGGGATGGGATTTTTGAGTCTGCTTCTGCGTGCGATTTTAGCATGTCTGTGACCTTGCGGCAGCAGCAGCGAGCGGGAGAAATGGATGTGTTGAGCTTGTGTGTGATGCCCTATTAAGAGCCCGGCTTCTTTCCCTCCTCTTCAAGTTCTTGTCCTTCCTTCTCCCCTCTCTGTCTGCTTCACTGCATCTTGTCAACACCATGGCTACGGCCAAACCCGCCTTACAGCATGCTGCGTTCGCCGCTCCTCGATCAGCTTCGCGCCACCACCTGACGCCCATCGTCAGGTCACTCTCGTGATCGCCGTTGAACACGCAGGGTCTAGCGATCGGCGCGAAAACACAGTTACGAGCCAAACAAAAAGGCAGAGACGCGATTCACTGGTTCAGCATGCAGTGTTTATTTACACGGCAAGGGGGCAATGATATTTACAAGGGTCCTCGCTCGGTCTGCCAAGGCTCGGAAAGGCAATCTGCTCAGCAAGTTTTTGGGGGCCGGGGAGGGGAGGACCCCGAAATTTTGAGCACACGATGACGTTGGAGGCTCTGGGAATAAGTGCGAAATGGATGCGGTGCTAAGGTATGAACTGACTTGACCTGCATGGGAATGATGTATGTGCCAGGCGGGGTTCGACCGACACGCCAGACAAAACGAAACAGGGACCCCGTTCACCTTGCTTATTCGCTATTCGCGACTGGGGGAGGACCCTTCCACCTGCACACACACACACACACACACACACACACACACACACACACACACACACACACACACACACACACACCATGTGCATGCCTCGTTGGTTGTTCGTCACCTTATCCACCTAGCGGCCGTCCGCATATGCTCCTCGCTTCGCTGGCTGCTTGTGTGTGTGCCTCAAGCTTGGTTGGGCTTGGGCTCGGAGAACTTGGACGTATGGTGGACAAGAAGTAAAAAGGGCGTCTTCCCACCGCAATTCTCTCATTTACGTCACGTCTTTTCCATCTTGTCCATCTGAGATCATCCTTTTGCCTACTCCATGGTGCGCAGGTCTTGGGCCAGTCACCCATCAACCCGATCAACATGGGACGGTATTTTGTTCGATTTGTACATTTCACTGACCTCTGTCTTACTACCTGGTACCGTATCCTGTTGATGCAGACCTTTTTTCTTTGCACTGTTTATATGATTTTCAGCATCTCTGGCTGTCAGGAAGCTTCACTCTTGTCATGCCATTTTCAACCCAGTTTCCCGTTTCCTTTCAAGATGAACCATATCGTCTGGTCGTATCGCACAACTCATAGCCTTCTTAGGCAAGAAAGAAAATATGCAAGGTCCGCCACACCCAAGAACGCCAATGAGGGGGTTTCCAAATACGCCGCCATAAAGTTTCCCAAAATCAATGCCCAGCAAGATGCCAACTCATGAGGGTATTTCAGATACTCGAACACACCACCTTGGCTGTCCAGCTTCGATAGACTCAACATATCCGCATCGACGACAAGAAGCAGACGAGTGAAGGCTCCTGAAAAAGGCCCCCTGCCCGGCCATAAAAAAAATGCAACTTTCTCAGCGCTCCTTTTCTTCACCGATATCAACAGGTGACTACATCCACTTTGACTTTTCCTCAACGTCTGTTATTCAACAACTCAGCTGCGCGCGACAGCTGGTTCAACCCATCGAGCTTCGGAGTGCCTCTCTCTTGGGCCCCAAGTGAGGTCTGCGAGGAGGCATGTGAGGGTGCATGCGAGGATGCTATCGACCCCTCGGTACCCGATGAGGATGAACTAGACTGGAAACGCAATAGTTGCGGTGGCGAATGGTATCCTTAAATTTTATTAGCTCTGATCCAGTGGAGGGTGAAAGTCTCAATGGAGGGTGAAAATACCATTCCGACCGTTTTGGACAGCTGTGGGCATATGGGGGAACATCGATTTTTGTTCTTGAAGTGGAGGAGGTGGCCCAGCTTGGTAGGGTGGTGGTTGCACTTCGAATACAGCTGCCCGAGGAGGTTGAGAAACTGGGGAATTCTTGCCCTCATTGCTGCACAGAGCATGGATCGGGAGGGGGTTATGGCTAGGCGTCTGAGGATATGATGGTGCAGAACCGGAGGAAGCAGTACTTCCTGCAGAAGGAAGTGGAGGTGGGAGTGAGGTGGGATGTCTCGGGGGTGCATAACCAAAACCATTCATCATCTCTGGCGACCTTGAAGCACCATTCAACGATGGCAACACACCCGAGAATGAAGAGATTGAGGGGAGCACTTGAGTCGGGACAGCCTCGGGGTTGGATTGTGTGTCGGTCCATGTTGGGCGACGACTCCGGCTATGGGTTGTGCGAGGACTTGTCGAGTGCAGGCTCTCGCGATCGAATTGAGTGCTGGTAGGTGAGTGCACCGCCTCATCTGCTGGTTGATGATGCTGCGAGACAGGCGTAGGGACGGCTGTCGAATATTGTGACTCGGATAAGGAGATGACAGAGCCTACACGCTGCTTTCTATTTGGAGGCGGTTCACTTCCTGGTTGACTCTCGGTTCCGCTGCCAGTGCTACTCAAACTTCCTGGCGTTGCGCTTGCACTGCCATTTGTTAGGCGAACCCCAGAGTCGAGCTTCTGACGTTTGGACGATTCTTTGGCTGAAAATGCATTAGTGATGCATGGAAGTGCAAGTAGAGCACAATATCTCACCTTGATTGGCGCTGGCTTGCCTGGCCTTGAAGTCTGCAAGGTATGCCGTGTACTTTCTGAACTCCGGAGTTTTCTTGTACTCGGCCAAATCATGGTTATACTTCTCCTTTGCTTTCAGAGCCGAGGTCTCATACGGCTCCTTTTCTGCGGGAGTCAGGTTCTGCCAATGTTCACCAACCAGTTTGGCTATTTCAGTGAATGTCAAATTGCGGCCTTTCAACTCGTCGCGCATTTCTGATCCCGAGTTAGCTATGTTACCACTCTTTCACAAGACCAAGTTAGCCTTACTGTTGGAAAATAGTACATAGGCAGAAGGAGGGCGTTCTGGCGCATTCTCGTCCGGCTGATAAGTTGTCAGTACACCATTACCATGCACGTCAATTGCTTCACACAAACCTTCGGGTGACGTCGGTATTTGCGCTTAGCTTGAACTGGTCCCTCTTTGGTCTCGGGTCGCGGTGGATCGGGTCGTTGCGTCTCCGTCTTGGGCTCTTCCACGCTGGCTCTCGTCGGCGATACTAGGGACACATCGGGAGCGTGGCCCCTAGAGTTGGCTATGCGCCTCTGCAATTTCTGTCTCTAATGTTAGATTCTCTCGTTGACATCTGAACACAGGCCAGCTCCTTACACGTCTGTGGCCCAACTTGACACCAAGTGCGTCACTGCAATATACGTTAGTCTGTGGTACACATCGTCGAGATGTGCTACTAACAGGTCGGACTCTGTGATGTCCAAAATCGTATCCCACGTGTCAAATCCTTGCTCCAGAAAGATGTCGAGATACTGGGAAATGCCCAGTTCCTGGAAGATGCTCTCAAGATCTTGGGCCATCGTGGCAGTATTTGTGCCTCCGGATTGGGCAGGTTGTTGGGCGGGTGCTCGTGACGTGCGCGTCTCGATTCACGGCAATATACGGTGTTGAGGCTGCTCGGGGACGGCCTAAATTCACAAGCGTTGAAGGTTCGTTTCCGTCGGTCAATTCGTTCCCATCTGATCTAATCGTCTGTTGGAGACGATTCGCGCCAAGTTTCCCTCTTTCGAAGTCGAAGCACTTCTAGTCCCTCTCTATCCAGCAAACGATCATTGGAAATTTCCGACGAAAATAAAAGTCGCGTCCACAGGGCGGCGAGGCGAGGGCGACGAGGCAAGAATGCGATGATGCGCGGGGCGACGAGGACGTGTACTCTCGAGATGCTCTGCGATCCAGGCGACAATATTGATGCGAAAGCGCTGTGGTGGTCGATGTCGATACCTTGTTCGGGAAATAGGCGACAGTCTGCTTTGTCGAGGTTATTAATGGGAAGTCGTTAGGGACGAAGGCATGCGGCAGGTCTGGTGTGGATATACCAACATGGTGGCTGCAGTATACAGAGGGATCTCGATGACATGGTGAAGGAGACCGAGCTCTTGGGTGTGGGACAACGGGATGGACCAAGCAGAGAGGGGCTTTCAAGAATCGGGTGGGATGGATGGATATGTGTGTGTGTGTGTGTGTGTGTGTGTGTGTGTGTGTGTGTGTGTGCATGTATGTGTGTGTAGAGTGTACCGCGTGTTGCGTACTGCGTACACTGACAAGGAAACTGGAACAGTGAAATCGGGAGAGGATACGTACAGAAGAAGCGATGGGGTGGGTTTTCTTGCTTTCTAAGCCTGGCAGCAGTCTACTACAAGCGCATGAAGGATAGGGAAAAGACGGATAGAATTGGCGTTGTCAGAGAGAGAAGGGATGTATTGGAAGCAAGAAAGACGTCGGCGCGTCAGAGTGGGCGTGGAAGTCGTCGTCGTGAATCGAGACTCCGAGTGTTGCTTGTTCAAGGAGAAGGAAAAGGCTGGGTTTGGGGAAGAAAAGACGAAAGGCCCGCCAGCAAAAGTCTTTTTTTCTTGTCTCCCCTGGGGTTATTCGAAATTGGGAACGGTGAAGAAACACCAGGGGGTCCGTCGACGGTGCGAAAGGTGATGGAAGAACGGAGCGCGAGTTTTCGGTCCCAAAGCGTGAGTGACAGAATGACGAGGTGAAGACGGAAGGGAACCGTTTATCGAGGTGCGAGCTAGTACCAGCCCCGCGGTGATCGACGCAAATTGAAAGGTGAGGTCAGAGGTGTCAAAAGGGAATCTGTCGGGTGGGTGTGTATTGAAGTAGCCTCAGACCTCGCCGCAGAAGTGTGATCCGGGGTGGCATGTCTTTTCTTTGCCCTCTACTACTACCTTATTATACTGCATAGTACGTCGGTAGTAGGTAGGTAGGGCAGAAAGATGCTGGATCCGAAGCAGAAGCAAAAGTAGCTGGAAAGCTACCTAGCAAGTACAGGCAGGTCAGGCATGGGCCACCAGAGTTAAGAGGCGGATGGTTGTTTGTGTACCTAGTTCAAGGCACCCAGGGCGACACCGTAAGCTCCCTGGCGGCTGATGACAGAAACCGACTTTTGAGAAGTTGCAGAGGAATCCAGCACCGTCACGACGAGGTTTTACTGGAAGCCCATCGCAGATAAAAGCGGGATTCGTCCAGCAATGGCCATGGAGGGCTTCCTAGCCCATGGCAGACCGGGATGCTCGACGAGTCAGGAACAGGAAACGGCCGCTTGGGGGGGAGGGACTCTGGATACCTGCGAGGGGCGTACCGGTACATGCGTCAAGTGCCCTGAACCGCCTCCGGTAGCTATCCAGCTGCACCTCGTAGCCCGTACGAGGCACCGGTCCAGTCCCTCTCAGTTCAGCGCACTTGAGTCCGTCAGGAATGGGCTGGGCTGGGCTGGGCTGGCGTTGTGTTCTGGTCAACAACGTCCATCCACCCCCTCTGTCACTCACTTGGCACTCTCACGCTGTAAAGGTATTCCGCGATAGGGATGCCCGAAGACTCGCAGTAGACGTCCAGCACTGCTCAACCGCTACGGGTGATCCGTGCCTCCATCAATAGCGAAGGTGCTGTACCTACCTACCTTACCTACCTACTTACCTGAGGCTTATTCGTACCTGCTTTATTACTTCGCACCTTCTTCCAGCGGCTACGTTCGGGCACTTGAGAACATTGGAGGCGGGTAATTCCGCTGTCTCTGAGCAGACATTCTTCAGCTCGATGACAATGGAAACAGGCTTCGACCTCGACCGCCAGAGACGGCTGGCTGTCCGCGACGGTCCACAATTCTCTGCAGAGAATCTCTGGTCGAGATTCATGTTATACCATCATCATCAAACACCGCCGTTCAAGATTCAAGATTCGAGTCTCAAGACTCGAGCCTCCCACAAAAGACCATGGCCGCGGCCGCGACCACAACCACGGGCGGCAGGAGATGCGACATCACGTAGATGTGGTGGATCCCATCCCAGCAATGACCAGCGCAGGAAGAAGCGAGGGAGGAGAATCCGACACCATGAACAACCCTGCAGTTCCAAGAGACACGTACCGTCGCCTGGGTTAGATGAAGGTCGAGAAATCAAACAGCCCAGCTCGTGGACCTGGATCTCGATGCTCGACTTCCACCACCATACGGTCGACCTGCACTTCAAGAAGCCTGCCCCAGACACGCCAGAGTCGCGCTTCTCGACGTGTCAGCGTTTGACCAGGCAAACCCAACATGGCTAAACCCACGCCTCTATGCGGGGAGACGGAGTATCCATCCATGGGCGCAAAGACACCTGAAATCGAGAATTGCGCCGCGATCGAAAGCCGCTACCACCCCTGCGCAGCACACTCACGCGGACGTATCTGGCCATTACAGCACCCTAAAGCCCACACTGGCACGCTACCATGATCACATTCGGGTACTCTGTACCCGTCTACCTCGCGGCATTCAGAACCTGGGCCACCTTACCTTAGGTATTAACCTGCCTCACTGTGTAGGTCACCACCGCCTGCTGTTGTCCGCAGGCAAGGCGCCGTATCCAACTGCACGGCGCGGGTGAGACAACGGTCGGCGAACCATGACTGCCATGCGATCGCATCCACGGCTGCGACCTGCCGACAGTCACGTTCGCCGTCTCTGGTTTTGCGGAAGAAACCCCCGTGGAAGTAAAATCATCTTCTCACTGGCTATGTGTTGGACGGGAGTGCCCACACAAGCAAGCGAAGCACTGTTGTTTCGACGGCTTGTCTTCCAGCCGCTTCCAAAACGCGGCGACATCGAATACCCCTCATGATAGAGAGGTCGCCAAAACAACACTTCCTCGAAAGGCTTTCCGTCATTAGATTACGCAGTACAGGCGTTCGCCAACATCACACGGCAGTCCTTTCTAGGATGCATCGGGTTCTTGATTACTGATGCCACATTCATGCGGTGAAACGCAGGAAGATACCGGGCCAATTCGCCGTTGGCTCGCCCGGTAACTGTGCGCCCCATCAGTGCAAGATCGAGAATTTCGTATTGTGGCAAAGGGGCCCAGCAAAAGCCATCGTGAGCCGGTGATTGCGCATTTGGCCGCAAATGGCATTTCCAATTTTCTCACCTCTCAGTCACCCATTGTCGGGTGTGAGGCTGAGAAGTGCATGCACTTTGACCGGGTCGTCACGGCCCCACAATCCATCAAAGCGTTCTGGAACTTGGGCCATCTCGACCTTGACCACGACCACTCGCCCGCCCAAGCCAGACGCGGACCAAGGCCAGCGACACCGATATCCATGATCTAGACGCCCCATTTGCCAAGGTCATGGAATGGAAACTTGCGTCCAGAGTGGTTTTCCGACGTTGACCTGCTTGTCCTGCAGATGTGACGCCGGGGCATATCCTCCCAGGATGGCCATCTCAAGGATCACGGATACAGCTCACACGGGATATCCACAACCACGTCCGGCCTTGATGAATATTAGGACATCGACGATGACCTGTCAGCATCACTGAGCTCTGTCAAAGAGAAAAATATGGAACGACGCAGAGTTCTGATGGCAGCACCACCTCACCTCGTCCGAGGGCAAGTGCAACTAAGCTGTTGCACTGTTGTTTATCCATGCATCAATCGTCATGGCTATGGGCCCTCACTCGTCCAAGACGTTTGCTGAACGTTCTGGACTCTTCAAGCGAACGCTGAGCGAACGCCTGGGCCAGCAAACCGAACGCAGCCACTACTCAAAGGCCAACATTCCTGTCGACGCTACCCTACCGTATGCACACTCCAGTCCGACCGAGAAGAATGGGGGAGGGCGTCGGCCTATCGATCTTCCAATTAAGGGCAGAGGGTTTCGCTGCGGAACGCGCTACAAGTCAAGTGGTAGCGTTACAGAGCACCGATGCACAAGTCACCTTCCAACTTGTCCGTCGATAGGCTTCCCGCCGTGACGTAGATTCGATGCGGCGCGTGGCTTGCGGAACCTACCACTTCTCTGGGGTCCTTGGGGCCTGATGGCCATGCCGACTAACGTTGGGGTGTAGGTAACGGCAAGGCTCTCGCGGGCCACAGTTTCATCAAAGATGGGAATAGCGGGCAGCGAAATGGGCAAAGAGGTGATGTGCGTATCGACGAGCGATCGGCTTCTCCAGGCGCCGACCAAATGGAGACTATTGGTGTGGGAGACATGGGAAGAGGAAACAAAACAACACCATGGACAGTACGGCAGTACGGCAGTACGGCAGTACGAACATTGACGCCGAGGCTACAGGATCGTCAATCGAGTTTCGCTGCTGGGCCATTTGAGCAGTGGCTCTTCGTCATGGCAGTGTCACCTTCATGGTCTTTACGGCGTAATTCTGGGTGTGTAATAAATCTAGGACGGCACAGACGATCGCGATGAGCCAAAGGCAGAGCAGCAGCGACAATGAGGCAACCAACCGTATGTTACGGAGGGGTGTGGTGGCAGTCATACACGGTGATTTCAACATCTCGATCCTCGAACGCCCATTCCAAGTCATCGAGATTCAGCAAATGCCACCAGTTGTGCTCGAGAAGATTGGACGCCAGTGCGTCAGAAGAGGTAGCATCCCATGTGCTTTGTTTGGGATCTGATATCATGGTTCTCGATGAAAGTCTCTGAAAATCCGATCTGTGTGCGGAGGGGTTTTGGTCGATATCTGGGCTTAGGCTGCAGCATCGAACAGTCAGATGGAATCTCCAAGAAAAAGCAAGTGCGCCATGGACTAGTAAGGGGAAGGTTGACAGTTTCCGGTCTCCAAGCTGCTAAGTGGGGCGACCTAGTAACATGCCTGAGGAGAAAGCGAATGGAAGTCGCCAGGTACCGGCTTCAAGTACCGATACCAAGGCCTCGTGCAGCGACAACAAGTACTCGCATCTGTCTTGGTCTTCAGCTTCCACTTTTTGCGCTTCAGCAGGCTTCGTATCGTTCTACAGCTTTGGATAGCCTACAGCAAGTCTCTGGACAGCCTGACAGGCGTCGCTCAGCAGCCCATCGCGAGGCAATGGACCTGAATGGCAGCTCAAATGCTAAGGCAAGGTTTCCGTATGTGACCAGGCACGCGCTGCCGTACCTGACGTTGCTCTCCAGGCACTTACACCGTCCACACACCCAGCACACCCACTGAGGCTGCTGACAGGCCAAGCAGGCATGGCATTGGCTGCGCCTTCGGCGTGCACTCCGGTCGCCATTCAATATCTATGCACAGGCACGAATACTATGTAGCCTGTCGGCGGCCTTCCAGGATGCGACAACATCAGACCAACGCCGATGCACTTCGATGCGATGGTACCGCCGGTCATGATACTGCGTGGTGTTAGGTTTTGGATTCTGAGCATGAGTTGTAAGGAAGAGCAGACCATCTCAGCCATCCATCTACCGAATGACGATCGACTGAAAGAGTCAGGTGCTGTGATTACCTTCAGCCGAAAGGGCCGCGATAGTTTTGGACCCTTGCTATCGTGCCCCATGTCTAGGTTGTATTTGAATCTTTCCCAAGGATGTAGGGCGTGTCACGGCTATTGGTCATGTACAGACAACTTTGTTGCCAGATGCAGCCTAGGAGTCATCTGTTCGAGCAGGCCCATCTCGATGAACAACTGGAGAATGAGGCAATTGGTCAAGGCCAAAACGAAAGCTAGCTGACATCGGTCGATTGCTAGAAGTGCGCCTGGGAATCAGACGCAAAAAAAAAGTGCCCAGAGGCGGATTCGAACCGCCGTCAACACGGTATCGCTGAGTGATGGAGACCACAACGTATCATCCTAACCAACTAGACGATCTGGGCGACCAAGTGAATTAGAAATCGTCAATTTCTACCGGCATATAGAGGTGCGGACACCTGGCGCAAGTGCGTTCCCTCGTGTGGACCAGTGACCTCCAATTTTTTGGTGTGGCTCCTGCCATCTTTCTGCAGTGGCATCCCAGTTGCTTCACCTCAGGCAAGGGCGGGCATGAGGGAAGGTATCACCTAGGTAAGCAAAACAAACAGGAGAAGGACCCCCACTCGGTCTGTGTGTCCCAGTGTTTTGGGAAGGAAAGTGAGGGGTTTGGGCCATGGCGGCAATTCTGTCGCCCGACGTCAACAATTCCGCCCAAGTCCTTACAAAATCCCATTCCTCCATCCTAGAAAACCCGTGTTAAAAGACCCTTGAGACGACACCGAATTTTCGCCATTCGCTCGGCATTACCGAATTCCTCCAGCCTCACTCAGCTCAGACCACCGCCAACACAACACGCCTTCCTGAACCCAACCGAATTTTCACTCTCCCGCCATAGCCTCGAGAAATCCGCTTTGGGGGGGTCTCCTTGTGAAAGAAGCTACGAAGACACTACCGCATATCTCCCAGCCCGCGTGGTTCAGGCATCGAGCGCTGAAGAGAGGGTATCCGCATTTCCCACATTACGGCAGACTTACAACAAAAGGCGAAAGAGCCCGAATACAGAAAAAGAGGGCGACGCTCCATCACCGGCCCCCCAAATCAGGCCACATTCTACTGATTTTTTCAGCTATTTTTTCCCCAACTTCAAAAGCCTTCCATTCGCTCGCCCCGTCGCCGTCCGAACATGGCCCCAGCGTCTCAGGAGCCCGAGCCCGCCTCCGCGACCACGACCAGGCCCGACAGCGACTCGTCGGTGGACAACATCGCCCAGGTATGTACGAATAGCCCGTATCTGCGCTTTTTTGGGACCCCGACAGAGCAAGGGGGTTGCCGGGGGTCATGCTCATGCAGAACTTCTGCCTCGAGCTTTGAACCGGCGTCCGCCCCGTCCTCCTCCCCCTGGGTCCTCGGTCATCGTGGTTTGTCTCTCTCACTTTTGTTCTCATCCTCGGTTCTCAGGCTCGCTCCTCTCCAGCTTCTCAATTCCGCGCCTACGCTCCGCTCCTCTCCCCCGGCGCTCCTGCACCATTTGGCCCCATTCGCCGTTGTTCTGTCACGCTCGTTGATTCGCTCAAAGTTCCCATCCATCGGAACTGGAGCGGTCTGGACCCTCCCCTGTGCGGTGTGGGCGTTAGGGTGGGGTCCAGAACCGATGATGTGTCGAGACGGCAACAACCAGCGAGCCGCCGGTTGGTTGGGGTTGACTTGGTTGCTAGTGTTGCAGCCGAAGACTTGAGGAGCAGCGAGCCCGCCCGCCTGCCCGCCCCAAACAGCAAGCACATTGCGAGTATGAGAGAGAGCAGAGAGCAAACCCACGGAAGCAAGGGCCCAATGGTGTTGAGATAGAGGGGAGTGGCAGGATGTGACCGTCTATGGGATACCCCCCCCTTTTTCACCTTTCCAGGGCTGACCACGTTTGGGGCGCGTTCTAGGCCTACAGGGACCTTCAAAGGTACGCTCAATCAACGAGCATTTTTCCATCTTCTCCCTCCCCGCTCCGTCGTCTGAAAGGGCGAATGCCAGCACTGCCTTTCTGCATTCGCCCCCTAGGTGTGAGCTATTGAAACGCCCCTCTTCCCCCTACCACAACAATCGGAATGGCATGTTTGCACCCTGGGCTCGAAGACGGAGCTGCCTCCGAAGCTGCAATGTGCACTTAGGAGGAATGAAACCGGGCAAGCGCCATAGTGCACTATCCACAGCACAGCGCAGTGAGGCACAGGGTGGTGCAGCATCTCGCCCAAATTGCTGTCGGATCCTTGCGCTGCGCAGCACCACCCAATAGCTTTCTGATCACTTTTTCACGGAATATCGTCCGCAACCCTGGGCCCCTCGGACTTCGGTTGGCGCAGGTGCATCTCGTTTCCGGCTGAGGATTGCGGTCTGGACCAACCAAGGGCTTTTCAGACTCAGATTTGGCCAAATCACAACTTCCATGGTAATTTTCCAACCGAAGAAAAAGCCATCAATACCATCGCTTTGCTCGCCCCTCCCCACCGCTCCGCTCGCGATATTTCTGTCTACGACGATGCATCGAAGCGAGACACCTGCCGGTCTCTTTACCAGGTAGAGTTGAAGGAGGGGTAATGAACTGTGGTACGACGGTGTCCGAATCCGCTTGTCACCAGACGGCGTGAGATGAGGGCTTTCGGTTACCGCTCCCCCAGCAAAGCAGCCACCTCGGGAAAGGTTCTAGGCCCTCTAGTCAGACCGTCCGCCCAGATCCCAGGGGTGAATTTCGCCTTCAACACTTCTCATACGGGGATAAAGCTCCCATTCCGGTCTCAGCTGGTGACCATCTCGATCGATGTTCGAGGCCATTCTTTCGTGTCAACGTCGAATAGTCTGGACTGCCAAACCCACCCCCCCAATAGCCACCAACCCCTCTCTCTTGCGTCCGGTCCAGCCAAGCGGCGATACGGAAAAGAAAGATTCCCATTCATATTTGCCATCCAGACGCGTCTTCGTGACCGCTTTCCCTCCACGCCGACATTCAGAAATTGGACTAACCGAGAACCGCAAACAGAGGCGAGCAGGCTGCCAGCGCGCTCGAGGCGAACCTTACGAACCTTGAGAATAGACTGGACGCACTCTTAGCTGCCTTTGAAGCTTCCGAAGGAGGAGCTGAAGCCCCGAAGGACCCGAACGACACCCAGGATGGAAACCCCCCCAACGGACAGAAGCGCAATGAGGGGTCTGGGCCCGATGCCTCTGGAGCGGCGAAGAAGCCTTAGACAGATAGACCAGATTTCAAAAGGGTTGTGAGGAACTGGTATCGGTCGAGAGACGGAGCCGACAACCAATTTCCACATTCTTCGGTACCGCTAGTCGCCCTCTTTGCGATCCTGAAATCCGACGATCAGTGCTGGGAATCGATGCTAAGGGCAGCCTAAAACATGGGGATTTGCAATTGCTGGTATGGAGAACCGCTGGGTGGCGATATTCGGGGGCAAGTTCCCGCGTGGGCGGACGCGACGATCCCTTGTTGGAGATCAGGGGCGGTATTGCTCAGCATAGTCCGGCTCTTCCTCCCCAACTGTCCTATCACATCTCGTCTTGTCGACTGCATCCCATCCCATCTCGATAATTCGTCTGTTTGATCGGAAAAGATGGGCGAATTCGCGGTTCTAGATGGCCAGTGATTATCGTAAGAAGCGTCAAACAAAAGCGGGAGGAGAGGAGAGGAGAGGAGGGGCAGGTTGTGTTCTGTTTTCTTTCCTGTCAACATTATTTTGCCACTCGCTAGGTCTGGCCAATATCTGCAGCTGCAACCCGTTATCGCCCCCTTAGGACTTGTCATACATATTTGCCATCCTGCATTTTGATGAGAACTGCGATCTCGATGTCTTTTAGCGTGTGTCGCACGGTGATCTGGAAGGAAAACAAAGTGACATTTGATATCTGGGCTGGTGCTTTGATGCCATGGTGTGTGTGGTGGTGCAGAGAGCAGCTATGGGCTCCGTCTGAGGTCTGAGGTCCGAGGAGGAGGAGGGGGTGGAAAGTGTCAAGTGAGGGGCAGGCAACAGAAAATCAAAACATGGGTTTGTAGAATGCCGCTTAGGACCAGGGCAGAATCGCATGCCTTTTGTGGTGTGATTGTTGGATTCGCGGCCGAGTTCCCTCCCTCGCTCATTCGGCCGGCGAGCGAGCGAGCGAGATGCTCGAACGGACCCCCCCGCCCTCCTCCCCTCCCCATCGTATGCGGCTGGTCTGCTTCACGTTCTCCTCGCCATGGTTCCTTAGTAATTCATTTGCGGCCTCAACGCAGTATATGGCCATCATCACATCACAGTAATGACTTGTTTCGACGAGGTCAGAAAATTCAGCCTTTCCTTGTAAGGCGGCCTTGCTTCTCTTGATATCAATGATGTAGTCTCGGGGACCCCAACCTATCTGACGCCCTTGTTGCTGGTAAACCTGGTTTGAGCAAGGAGAAAAGGAAAATCAATCAAGAAAATTCAGAATCCCATCTTTCCCCGCTATCAACCGCCAATGCCTGTTCTTGAGCAGCGGAAACTTCTTTCCCAATTCTTCGTCTTCGTCGTCGAAATAGCCCGTCCAACCAACAGACACAGCCCAAGACTCTTCAAGCTGAGGGCCAAGCTGATCGCCATATATAGGAGATAAACCAAAATAACAGCAGGCCAGTGGGTGGCTGCTAGAAACTTTGATCTCATCCTCCTCTCTGTTCACCCCTGGGCACCAATAGTAAAACTACAATCGAAGGTTAACGAGATGGTGAAGAATACGGACAGAGTGACTCCTGTCCCTCCCTCCTTTCTGAAAGACCAAAATAAAGATAAAAACTCCCAACGACCTCCCTAATCCCATTGCCCCCCTCCCTTGTGTGCATCCCATCTTAAGAAATCCAGTGTGCCCAGCTCAAAAAGAAACTGTGTCCCCCTTGTCGCGCGTGCTTGCACACTAAGCACAAACCGTCTTTATAACGAAACTCGAAAACAGTGCTTCTTCTTGTCTTGAAATGCCTCCTGCTGCTTGAAGGAGTCGTGCCGCTCGTAAAACAGTTGTGATGGGAGAGATGTGTCGGATAGAATGAGCAAACAGCGGCGTCCAGGTGCTGTGTCCATCCTCCCATGCTCCTCCATCTTTCTTGGGTATTGCTTCGTAAAACGATGCTACTCGTTTGGCTTACTCGGGTCGCCACTTGCGTTTTTTCTGAGCCTGTCCCTGCACATCCCAGTTAGGAACTATGTGACCTCAGCAGCAGCTACGCGCACGAACAAGAAACCAAGTTAGCTTGTTAGGCTGCGCGAGTCGGAAAGGCCGTTACGTGCCCTAGTTATGGGATCCTCCTGATCCGCCGTGACCAAGGACGGGCTAGCCAGGCTAGGCCCCGTCATTGGTTCTATTGATGAAAAGGCTCGGTTCTCCAGAGGTGGGCGGAGGTGAGACTGAGGTTGCTCATTCCCGGTGGCCTTAACCCTGGACTGTTGAGCAAGATCTCTCTCCCTGTTCTTCTCCAGCAGCTGGCCTCCGAGGGTAGCACACTTGAGAATGGTCTGGATGAGGTGGTTTTGCTGCAGGGGCTTGGACAGGTATTCGTCCATCTGGGCCTGGATGCACTTCTCACGGTCACCCATCATGGCGTGGGCTGTCAGGGCAATGATAGGAGTACGATGCGAGCCAAGGCTTCGCTCATACTCGCGAATCTTGCCAGTTGCCTCAAAGCCGCCCTGCCGGGTGGGGTTAGCTCGCAATCAAGATAGACATATAATAGAAATTCCGGGACTTACCATGATAGGCATTTGTACGTCCATCAGGATGACGTCAAACTTCTTCCGCTTGATTGCCTCGACGGCTTCAAGACCGTTGCCGACAACGGTGACCACGTGATGGTACTTCTCAAGGATCTTGACTGCAAGCCTCTGGTTGACTCGGTTGTCTTCTGCAAGCAGAATCTCGAATGACTTCGTGTTATCCGCAAGCGATGGCGTGGCGCGGTTCTCGAGAGCAGGAATCATGCCATTGCCCAGGTCAACCGCTGTGCATGGTGTTGTCATATACGACGTGATGCCCAGATCCAAGCACGACTTGAGGTTCACGTGAACGACAGGCGCCAACAGAACGATAGGCAGGTACTTGAAGTCATCCACCGACCGGAGTCTGCGAGCCGTGTCGATGGAGTCGACGATAATAACGTCGTATGGCATCGCTTGAGCGTCCCGAACTCCAGTGAGCAATGGGTCCTTTTCCGATTGGACAACGACGGGCTGCAGGCTGATCTTATGAAGCATGTCCCGGATCTGTTCGCCGTACGAGGTCTGGGCCTTGTCGACGAAGAGAACTTGGTGACCCTTGTAGGGCTTGATCTGCTTCTCGATGGACTCGACGCCAAGATCTGACAAGCGAACGCGACATGTGAAGTGGAACTCACTGCCCTGACCGTGCTGGCTCTTAACCCACAAGTCACCGCCCATGAGCTTCACTAGACGCTTCGAAATGGATAGACCAAGTCCGGTACCGCCGAACTTTCTAGTCATGGATCCATCGGCCTGCTGGAACGTGTCGAAGATGAGGTCGAGCTTGTCGGCCGCGATACCAATACCCGTGTCGGTAACAACGAATTCAATGGCATACTGGTCGGGGTTGCACTTCCAAACCACCGGGTCGGCCTTCTTAATGGTGAGACTGACCTCTCCATGCTCGGTGAACTTGATGGCGTTGCCGACCAGGTTCAGGATGATCTGCCTAAGACGGAAGGAATCGCCAATGACATGGTCGGGTACTGAGGAGTCGACTCGGTACGTGAGGTCGAGGAACTTCTCATTGGCCTTGACAGCCAAGGTTTTGAGAGCATTGAAGACCGTTCCACGCAGAGTATACGGAATCTCCTCAATGACCATCCTCCTAGCTTCAATCTTGGACAAGTCCAAAATGTCGTCGATGATCGTGAGCAGACTGTTAGCAAGACTGTTGACGATATTCAACATTTCTCGCTGGTATTGTGTCAAGTCCGTGTCGAGGGTGAGTTGTGTCATGCCGATAATACCGTTCATGGGTGTGCGAATTTCGTGAGACATATTTGCCAGGAACTCCGATTTCGTCTTGTTCGCCAACTCTGCCGCCTCACGAGCTTGCGTGTTCCTCTGGATACTATCCCGTAAGTTTGACACCATCTGATTGATCTTTCGTTTCAGTTCGTCCATTTCGCCAGATGCTTCGACCTCGACGAGTTTCGTGAAGTCCCCGTCCGTCGCCAGGTTGGTTATGTCAGAGAATGCGCGCACTTGAGTCGTCAAGTTGCTGGCCATGGTATTGACGTCGGTCGTGATCTCACGCCAGCGACCCTTCAAGCCGGCCGGGTCTGCTTGTGCGCCCATCTTGCCGTCAACGCCGACGTCTCTGGCTACTCGCTGCACTTCGTTGCAGAAATTAGAAAGCCTGTCAACCATGTTGTTTATGGTTTCTTTGAGAACCCGGATTTCTCCTTGAGCCTCAACTTCGATCTTCTGGCTCATGTCGCCATTCGCAATAGCCTGTGTGACGGTGGAAATGCTGCGGACCTGTAACGTAAGGTTCGAGGCCATTGTGTTGACGTTTTCTGTAAGGTCTTTCCATTTGCCTTCCACGTTGTCGACCTGAGCTTGTCCGCCCAGTGTTCCGTCAGTACCGACTTCCCTCGCGACCTTGCTGACCTCGAATGCGAACGTGCCCAGACGGTCAACCATGGTGTTGATGGTGTTCTTGAGATCAAGAATCTCACCGCGGACAGGCACTCGGATCTTCTCTGTGAGATCACCATTGGCGACGGCAGTAGTGACCTTGGCAATGGCACGAACTTGCGTTGTCAAGTTCATGGCCATACCATTGACATTCTCAGTAAGGTCTCTCCAAGTTCCCTCAACATCATGAACGGTGGCTTGACCACCGAGACGGCCTTCGGTGCCGACCTCTCTAGCAATCTTGGTAACTTCCCGAGCAAATTGTTGAAGTTGGTTAACCATAGAGTTGATGGTAGACTTGAGGTCGAAGATCTCGCCCCGGCAATCCGCTTGAACCTTTTGAGTGAGATCTCCCTTGGCGACGGCAGTCGTCACCTTGATAATATCTCGCACTTGTGTCGTTAAATTGTTTGCCATAGCATTGACGTTGACCGTTAATTCGTTCCACATGCCCTTGACGCCTTCAACATCAGCCTGTCCGCCGAGTATGCCCTCGGTTCCGACATCACGCGCGACACGAGTGACCTCAGATGCAAATGTCCGGAGTTGAT